TTCCATGTCGTGCATTATTTGCCGACTCTGGGACTGGTTGGAAGAAGCGGAGAGGTGGTCAGTGCATGACATGGTGTCGTGGCATGAAAGAAAGCTGCAAAGGACTGGCTTCTGTCGGTCCTTCACGACTCCCTGGTTGGGGTCCGAGAGATGGTGCTTTACAGTGGCTAGACACGTTGTCAGATATGGCTGAGAATAGAAGCCAGTGGCGATCCTGCTGTAACCTTCTTTTACTTTCTTCATAAAAAGTGGTTGTGTCTCCCTTACCTGAAAGATTTCTTCTGATTGTACCTCGTTACCACCACACTACCTTACATCAGTCTCTTCGTTATTGTTCTCTATTTCTTTTGCGCTCCTTAGTTTTTTTTCTATTTCTCGTCGCATTCTGATTGTTTTGTGTGGCGCATATATATTGGCGCTCTCTTGTACCAATATTTATGTGTTCAAATAAATAAATAAATAAAATAAATAAATTGTAGAATTGATCTTTAGCGTCTTCATTGTAGTCGTTGGTAGGCGCATAGCATTGGATGATGTTCATTGAAATCCCCTCTTTTTTTGTTTTGAACGAAGCTTTGATGATCCTTGGTCCATGAGATTCCCATCCTATAAGTGCATTTTGCGCTTGTTTGGACAGCATCAATGCAACTCCTTGTGTATGTGGTGCATTTTCTTCTTCATGGCCGGAGTATAACATGAGCTCTCCTGAAGTTAGTCGTTGTTGTCCAACTTGTGTCCAATGTGTTTCACTGATCCCAAGTACCTCTAGGTTGTATCTTCTCATTTCTGCAGCAAATTGAAAGCCTCTACCGGTGTCCCACATTGTACGAACATTCCATGTACCTAAATAAATGGTCGCTCTGGTTGTAAGAAGGGGCATCGGCCTTGTAACTTCCGAAGGAATTCGGCTTTCATCATGAGACATCATAGTTCTTCTAAATGAAGACCTTCTGACTCCCAGGGCAAAGCTTAAAAGGTTTGAATACCTTTTTCTAGTTGGCGTATTTTTAGCGAGTTAGTTTTCTCCGGGATGGGGTCGCTAACCTCATGCCCAACCCTCCTCCTTCATCCGGGCATGGGGCCGGCAGTAACCCTCGGAGGGGCTCCAGGCAGAGTTATTTAATAGGACATACGTATCTAAAAAGAAGCAGTAGTAAGACAAATCTGAGCAAACTAATATTAGATGATACTCCGTGTTGTCAGTAACGTATAAAGTTTTTCTTAAAGGACGTATAGAAAGTTGCCTAAATCACACCAAATGATGGGTACATCCAAAGCTCGATTACTTTTCAGAGGTACTAAGTATACAAAGATTCCATCTTGTTAACTTCCAAGTTTCATTCAACTAACCACACTGATGAGTAAAATCTATGTACGTTGTACGTACGATTTACATCACATCACTAATAGACTATTACATATTTTCAGAAGAGGGATTTGTGAAGACGAAATTTGAGTTTCAAGATTGCTTTGCTTACCAAGTTGTCTTGAAAATAAGTGATCGAAAACCATGATGATATCAGTTAGCAGTATTATCCAGAAAACCGAAACATTATAATATTTTGAAGCATTTATTAAAGGTTTCATCTGGCTAATGCTTAGGTTAACTCCTGAAATCCCTGCGACTTATGAGTTGTAGGTGATGACCTGAACGCTCTCCATTGCCATTGTCATTATCAGCAGAACTGTGTGGAGACCATAAATTCAAAGACAGTTGAAGATTTCTTAAACGCCTTAGTCCAGTATTACTGTTTGTCTTTTCTTAGGTCCTACGTATTTGTTCGATGTCCCTGCATATCCGGCAGCCTAATATAAGCTTTCAGTCCTAGCTGTCTGGGAGTATAACAATTTTTAACCTTAGGATTTGTCAAAGAGTTAAAAAACCTTACATGAACTGTTTGGTCGGAGGTAAGTATTTTAGGTAATCGAAAACAATATTAGGTTGTCATTTACATGCTGACGATTTTGTTGGTTGGGCATATATACCGATTTGGGATGACAAATAAATATTAGTTGCAGGTGCTTGAGGCACAACGAATAGCAGATATGTATCGAGGAGGAACAAGTGACAATGCGTTTATTTATATATTTTATAAGAATAGCTTTATCGTCAAATGGCCCATATATAAATGACTTTTCATTGAATTAATGATAAATTCAATATTCATTTGCCATATATTTCCTCATACACTGACAACAACTCAATATTGTTCATTAAACTTTACAATTTCAAGGCTGAATGAACTCAATTTAAATAAGTCAAAATAATTCCACCGTGCTGACCCCATTAATGACATAACATTTTAAAATGACTGGTAAATCTGACATCAAAACTAAATGTGAAGATTATCGAAAGGCTAGAAAGAATAGAAGTCATTAGATTTGGTAACTAGTATGTTCAATTAAACCCTGAACTGTAGATAGATATCCCGTTAATTATTCAAACAAACTAGCAGAACAGTCTAAGAAAAAATGCTTACGAAGAAGATAGGGAGATCAACGAAGAAAATATTACAACCCCGAATCTACTCAGGTCAACTTTGGTCCTATTACAAGAACTATCATCATTTCGAAATCGATAGATGACATGGAAAACTAAAATCGGAGCGTAGGACATTAGGTTTGTGGAATCGAAAATTACTGACGCGATGTTACACGCCTGCTATAATCGCAATCTTATTCACCTGCTATTACTGGCGAACGCCGCATTATTTTCGCGTAACTTACATTGGTTGTAGCGCATTATACAAATAATGAAGTTTACAGATACATTTGTCTTCTTGAGAAATAAAACTCTCCACATCTTCTGGTAATCCATTTCAATTTGTCATACATTAATATTCTGCAGGAGTTTTCTGTAAGAATTTATATCAAATTACGTATATTGTTTCAGTCTTTGTGTCAAAGCTTATTGTTTAGTAGAGTTTTGCATTAGCTTTTTAAATGTAATGTATTTTGTATTGAGATCGTCGAAGTTCTTTGCTACAAATGAGTTCCAATCGTATAACAAGATGCCCACTTATGCTTAATTAATCCAGATCGAGAGTCCATCTGAAATTCCTGATGATAATCAATTCTATGATTGATGGAACATTGGCACTTCTCCACTGACTGCCTGGCCTAACATTTTTGATTGGTTACCTACACATTAGGTTCAATCGACAAGCTTAAGTGCTGTTTTTTACCTTTCCAGTATTTGAAGTATGACTTTGATTTGTCTGTCCACCAATCTGTACCGGTTCACCACTCCGGGGTCTGAGATTGGTTAGCGCAATCTTAAAACTTGTAATGAGCGAGTTTAACTTTTAATTGAACAAAGTCAAGTCAGAGAAGCTATCCCATAGCTGACCTATGGATTGACCGCTTGGCATGCGAAGAGTGGAGACGATTCAACTGAAACAGGGCATCATATTTATTCTTGATTCACTTTGATAAAAAGTGCATGGTTATATGAATAACAGACTCAGCAAATAGCTCACGTTTTTTGCAGTATCCATTCTTCATACCGGCGTGTGACCATCGAACTGTGATAACCAAAATACCAGTATATTCTTGTCTGGGAGAACAACTCAATCCGGTAAACGAGGCATATCTCCAGTAGATCTCATATGAAAACGTCTATAAATTACTTTTGTGTCGTTTGAGAGTCCTACTGGGTTCAAGATAGATTCATAAAGACAAGTGAGGCGAGAAAATGTTCCAGCAATATGCAGTGATTCATTTAATAGTCTCTATAAAAATTGCGATTGTAAGAACATTTTGTAACGGTTTAATTATCATTGTCTTGCTATAAAGTCATACCATTTATTGATTCCTTTAAGCTAGATAGCTCAAACACGGAAATCAAACCATCACATTAAGAATCAAATGAACCTTTCATCGAAAGATAATTCAGAATGTACAGGCAACAAAAGATTGTCAAAAAATGTACGACAAAAACTCCAAAGACTTTGAATTCATCATGAACACTTGTTTACAGTCAAACAAGTGACTGGTTCTACTATGATATTTTCTTGGGGACGTCTTCTATCCGAGCAGCGTTTAATAATATCTATTCTGTCCGAATTTGCAGGGCGAGTGAAATAACATGCAAACCTAGTTTTTCGCCCCGTTGAACATGCTCATACATCAGAAAACCGTCTTGTTGATAATGTAGTTTTTTCTTTAAATTTGACAAGAGCCTTTGATGGAACTGGGTTCATGAGATTCCCATCCAATGAGTGCATTTCGAGCTTCTTTCAACAGCATTAGAAAAACTCCTTGACTATGTGGAGCATTTCCGTTTTGGAGATCGGAGTACGGATGCATCTGATTTCGAGCATCACCAAGTTTTATTTTCTCATTTGCTCAGCTATTTCATTAGTTTTACTGATCTCTCACACTGTCCGAAAAACCCGTGTTCCCATATCAATTGTTTCTTTGATTGTTATAAAGAGCATTGGCCTCGTCAACTCCGAACAATATCGGCTCTCTACATTGAGCATCATAATTCGTATAATTAAAGATCTTTCAACTTAGGAGGCATTGTATGAACGGTCAAATCTGTTTGTTCTGGTTAGCATGTTTTTTGAAGGTTTGTTTCCTACGGGATGGCGTTGCTGAACACATGCACAATCCTCCTTCTTTACCCGAGCTTGGGACCGGCAGTATTCATCTCGCTCTCGACCGAGCTGTGGCGGATACATGTTTCATAACTTGCCACAATGTCATTGTCACATACCAGTATTTCATTCCGATTTCGCCTACTATCATCTCCGATTTCCCTCATATTCTTTCACTCTCGTATTCTTACACATTTTCACTTTTCAATCAACCTTCTGTTTAATAGTTTGATAACTGTTGGTATGCAGAATTCAAATGTATTCACTCAACCTACAAGATCTACAAACCCACAAATAAACACCGTACAGACAAGGATGAATGAAGTCGAATGTCTAAGCCAACACTCATTTAACATTGAGAAATACGCATTACCGTAATGACAAATCAAGAAACAAGCACAAAAAGCTAGTCGGTTCGTACAAGGTCGTGTTTAAAATATTGAATACTGGAGGCACAGAATAACACAGATTTGGCGGAAAAACAAACTTCGGATTCATTACTGCGCTTCAACATAAGAATGTATATACATAAAAAACGACAACAGACAAACATTCTTGATGAATACAAACTTATTAATATAAGAAACATTTCCGAAAAACACGCTAAAGTTAACCTTCTAGGTGTGATTATTCAGAAACAGTCCGTTAAACGATGCTCTACTAATTTCTCGGGTTCGAATAGTCAAGCTGTATTAGGATTCACTCTTAGAGACAGCACATATGATTGGATCAACGGAAGCTATTGGGGTTCATTCTCGAGTGTTAATTCGGTGGCATCCCAATTTAACATTGGTTAGTATGCGAATTCCGTTTATTTTTCTCGCAAGGCGATTGCGTGATTGTGCTTAATGCCAAACTAAAGTTCAAAGAAAGAAACTCTTATGAAGAACGTTTTATGGTTCAAACACCCTCAAATTATCATCTGCTTTTGAGGGACAGGAGTGGAAGCATTACACAATATGCACTTCCTGACAAGTTATACATAAGCCGCCTAAAAGTTAGTGATTTCTGATTAAAACAAAAATCGACGTTCAAGAGTTACCAAATCTACTTTTGATTAGGAGTATAAACGTTAAGCTTATGCCGATGGAAAATCTTGACTGTATTCAGCACCCGCAATTTAGGATAGCGTAATATGTTTTACAAAATTATTATCATTTGTCAAAAGGTTCAATTTTCGCTCGATGTAGACCACAAAAGGTTTAAACCAGGGATCTTTTAGTGAAAGATTTAAAGTTATTGGGCCATTATGTTGATCTGTTTAGTTTTTATTTCGGAAATGGATGATCTTTACGGTATGAAAATGTCGAATTTCACAAACTTATGAACAGACAAACTCTTGACAAAACAAAATTTCTTGAAGGAAAAGGCTGCATATCGCTGATCATTTCATGAAAACAACAAATTTCACTAGATTTTGACTGGTTTTGAGATGAATTTTGTTTTATGGGGATGATTTCGTCAGATCTTAACGACACGTGTTGTTAAGCCACGCGTCTAACATGGTAGTTTATCAACGTCTACACAATTGTGGTCACGAATTAAAGTGATATCAACCATGACAGATGAAATATATTTTTAGCTAGACGATATGTTGAATGTGTGATGACTGATGTGACTAGAAGTAGATGTGCATGCAATATGCTTGACGTAGAATAAGTGTGTATTTAATTTTTAGCATTGAACTGCTTTGCTTTACCATGATTGACAAAATGTAGTGTATCGTAATATTTCATTTTACTAAGGAGCAGTTGTCACTAATTTATAATTTTCCCCAGCCATTTTTTTCATATCTTACAAACAAATCCAAATTTTTATTATCTAGAATAACATATTGGTTTAATGTTTGACCAACTGCATATATTTCATACAATAGCTATCTAACATAATACAGTTAGGAATCATAATTGGTTTGATGATCAGATGCCTGATGAGTTCAACAAGATCTCTTTTGCTGTCAGCTGAATTTCCTAGGAAGCACAGAACTAGTAGCAGCTAGGGAAACTATATGCTAGTAATTTGCAATTAGTGCAATGATTGCTGCATCTTAGAATAGGAAAAACAATACACTATTATCGATGTTTTTCCAGAATTTGATTGTATAGTGCATTTAAATAAAATTTATTTTATCCTACGTCAAAACAATGTATACCGTTTTTAACCCATTAACTCTTGTCACGAAAGTCATCTTTAGTATGTTCGGCAGCTTATCACAGACCTCTGCATCAAGTAATACAGGAAATCTACTCCAAAAGATTCTCAAACAACCAAAGCCACTTCAACTGGAAAATATATAATCCTTCTTTAGAGTTCACGTTCTTTGCAGTTGTTTCGGAAGTAAAGCACCCAAAAACTTTAATAATGTCTCAAAAGAAACTAAAGTGTGAAGGAGACGAGGAATTAACAATACAAAACGCAAGCACAACCAACAAATCAAAGTCAATTCAGTCGATGGAAGCAGTTCAAACGGTACTTCAGCTGTGTGAAGTCATGCTTTTTGATGATTCATGCAACTGTCTTCCGCTAATCTTTTGGAATGAAGAGTGGATTCACATTGCATTAACAGCTTTTATACCATATGTAAGCCTTCAACCATCTTAATGATATTCTTTGCAAAATGAATTAATCTGAAAATTATAACCGTTCAATTAGAAGTTTTATCATGACGACAAAACCTGGAGGACAGTGCTACCTGTATGACGGTCTATTAAGCCATAAGAATTCCTTCAGTATTTCATATATGTTCATTAAAAATTTTTGGTTGTTGAAACTAGCTAGTTGGAATTAAATATGATGGCTTTTTAGGCGATAACTTGATAAAAACGAAAAATCTGAAAGAGCCTTTAAATAATTACTTTGGACCTACCGTAATATTTTTCTTACTTTATCTAAAATGAAACCTTGCATCATTTATAAAGTCTGTTGATAACTGAGCAACACTGTAGCAACAAATTAAAGGTAACAAGAACTTTCATGTCATTTGTCGTTTTTTTAGTCATTATAATTTTTTCATTTCTCGATGGCCATTTAACTAAACTTGATTGTTTATATATAACTGCTTTAGATATATGTCAAGCAATCAGTTAAAATCCACTTTTAGTTAACACACACCTGGGGAGTAAAACATAGAAAAGGCGCCCTAATGTTTGCCATTAAACTTTGGATATTTTAAGTAGTAGCATAACTGGTTAGACCTTCGTACTTATGCTTGTAAGGCATCATAATCAAACTTTGGGAAGTCAGTCTATACTCATTTACGTTCGATAAACTGTTAAATGTGCAGAACATTTTTTACTCGCGTAAAAATGGAAAAGAATTTTGTGTAAAACCGTGAGATTCAGCTTTTGTGAGCATAAATAAAATGATATTTACTAAAGCTACATGCAAAATATCATTTGTAGGTCAAAGGTTTTAATAGCTATAGCTTTAAAAATCTACAAGAAATATTTTTCACCATATCAGATAGTATTTTAAGGACAATTTTGGAGGTAGTTATTAGTTCCCTACTTAAAACCATTGCATCTCATGAATAAACCCGAGATTTTACTTGATAAACAAATCTACTGGCTGTAGGACGTCTTTAAAACAAAAAGACTTGAGTTAGTACATCTCAAATTTCCATATGCACATATGATGAAGTTGATAAGCCTAATGAAATAAATTGTATTTCAGATACTGACCTGATAATTAAGAATTTAGGTGCCAAAGCCACGTTATTTGATCATAACTCATAAGCTTTGGTACATGTACTTCAAAATTAATAATTTCTTCCAAATCTTAATGTGTTTTATAAAGTGTGAGACTAAGTCTGTCCAATTTTTGGTATTAAAACATTATGTTTTCACTCGAATCTTGTTTCAGTCTACCGTTTTATCAATTGTAAACTGTCCAGTTCGTTACGATCTCTACCGCAAAGGTGTGGTTGCCTCACCAAACTCAAAAACACTAATCATTATCTCACCTGACTGTGCAGAGGCCAATCGTTTAAGTCAACACTCCAAGCATCGGACTCAAAGCATAGATATTTTAGAAAGCGGCCACACTTCGTTCACTGTTGAGAATGTAGATGACAGACTATTACAATCTTTACCAATGGGATATAAAACTGCTCAACCGGAGGTCAGAAATTGGAAAAATAGTCTTTAAAATATCATGTATCATTACAATGTTTTAAAATTTATACTTATCATTGTGATTGAGTAGATTGAATTACAAATAATTTGTGAACTGTAACTCACCTATTTCATTGATTTTTGTTTATAGATTTACGAATGCTTAAGATAAAGATTTAACAATCGTCTCGAACAAAATGAGAGTTTTGGGATAAACAACATCAAGATTTTGTGTTCATTCTAGATTATACTAGTAACACTGTATTTTGATAAGCAAGTTGTTTTATATTCCAAGCGTTTCAAACATCATTATGTCTCACAGTGACATTATTGCGACATAAATAACTGCAAGTGGTATTAGTATTCAATATGCTGTTTACTAACGTTTGTTTTACATGCTATATCACTGATTGTTTTACCACTTAAGTAATATTACAGACACAAATGATTAACCACAACCTTTGGTTCTGTATCTTTGGTCTACATAATTAACATCTTACAACCTACTTTGAGACAATTTAAGGTATGACTCCAAGTCCCTGTATTGATGTAGTAGCTGAAAATTGACTACTGAAAGTATTCCTGTGAACAAGACGATACGTTGTTGACAGTAAGAAAATGATCGCTTTCCTCACTCTTCATGTTTGCTCTTTACCAATAGTGTGGTATGTTCAAAATTCTTACGTTAAAGCCTACGGTATAATAAATTAGTCAGAAAGAAGAACAGTTTACAAAGCGTGCTTTCTGGCACTAGTTAAGTGGTTTTGTTATTATTCTTGAAATGACTGAATTTGAAGTTCACTTATTTGATAACACGCAATGCGATGACTAGATAATGCGCAAGGTAGATCACTGTACTAGATTTGGGACAGTAGACCACGATTCGAGATAAAACGTTTGGTACCTGAGTAATATACTAGAAAGGTAGACCATCAAATATGATTATGTAATAAAGAGACAAGAAATATCAGACGAATGACTGAAAGGCAGATTCAAGAGATATGATATCTTGTTTACTCAAAACATAACTATTTGCACAGTAATGTGAGTAGAAACCACCAGTGTATCAGAGTTCTAATAAAAATTGGCTAGTTACGTCCCCAATTATGATAGAACATGTCTGTCTTCACCTATTTACCATATTCCACTAATATTAGTTTTCACAGATAAAAATGAATCCATTTTTTGTATTGACTTATTAGAGGTAGACTATACTTTGAAGAACTATATCTCGACGACTGATCGCAGATAAGTTAGCAATTAATTTGTATGTTTCGGCCCTTATCGTATTTTCTACAGGAATGAATTAGAAGTCGACTATTTGGTTAGTGTTTGGATCACTAAAGCTGCAGTTAAATACGAGGAGGATTTCGTTCAGTTATAATACTTTAAGACTTAATACTTTTTGACTGTTTCTGTACATATTTTAAAACCCGCAGAAATATTGTACACTGCAACCAAACTGTATCTTTTAAACTTCTAACGATATTTAGTAATCGTAGTACTGGTTTGTACTTTTATTTTATTATCATTTTTTATTATTAATGGCTTTATTCAATATTATATTTTGGTACAATATAGAATTCTCAGCACAGGGTATTTCAACAAGTTACCTACTGAACAACGAACAAAAAGGCAGTAACAAATACAAAAAGAAATAAATAAGAAAAGGTTTTTTTAAAAAGAATAAAACAGAAAAAAAACCCCAAAAAACTGTACCTCAATCGAATAGAGATCTATAATTGCATTTAACAACTAGAGCTGTTTAATACAGTTTAAGTTAAATAGGTAATAAAGTAACAGGGTAGTTGCATCAATGTTTGATAAGTTGTAAAAACAAATACTTCAGCGGGCATCATCAAAAACTGTTGACTTAACAATAAACACAATGAAAGCCAATTATGGTGTTGGACAGTGTAAACGTGTCTCAATAAATCTTATCTTTTGAATTCAGATTACAAAATCCAAATCAACCTTATCCTGTATGAGAATGTGTTTTAAACTTGCCTACATAGATTTATGTTCTCAAAAGTCCAGAAACTAGTAGTTACATTTTTGACTCCTAAAAGAGTCGAGATTGTAAATTTACACCAGGAAAAGTTCTTTTGATTGCACTAATGCTATAGTATGAAATTTGCCACATACCTACCTTATAAACACTCTGTTGCAGAGGACAAGGCTGTAAGAAGTTGTATTTTGAAAATTTAATAACCTTTTAATTGAAATTCCGAACCTTTATCGCTTCTTACTACTAGAACAACACCTTAAGGTTTCATTTAGCGCACATACGTGAACACTACGAAGGCTACTGGTATTGCGTTAACATGTTTCCATCCCTTTCCAAAGTCACTTTTGAACCCGTTGATTTAAACCAGAATCGTGACAAAAAAATTATATTTTCGGTTTGTCGTTATTTGATACTGATAGATTTCCAAGGGATTATTAAATCTAATAGGGTAGAAAATAGATGATTTCACGATAGCGTCTCAAAACAATTCCATCATTTATTTTGGAAAACATTAGTTTGGCAGATTTTGAATGTATCATAAACAGTAATTATCTTCCCAATAAAAGTTTTCAAACAAAACTTAATAACAATATTCTTTTTTCAGATTTACAAAGTTCCTCTGACAAGTATTCACAATATCTTAACTGTTCGAGACCTCAAAGAAGGAAAAGGTAACAAACACATACATTTACACTATTAAAACCATAATTGTTTATACACGTTAACCATTGGATAATGCTAATTAATTACTGCTAAATGTTGAACCTAAAGCTTGAACATAAAACGTTTTTGCTAAGATATCGACAGTTTAGGTGTTTGTTTAATCCAAATATGTAAGGTTAAATGATAAAATTTATACCATAACTTCATAAAAACAAATAATAAACAAAACTATTTGAAGAGCACTGTGGAAAAAGCTTTATAATGGTCTTTTTAAAAGAGCGATAAATCTAACAAACGGAAGTATACAAAAGACCTAGCAATGACCGCGGAAAAAGCTGCAAAGTAAAGAAATATGAGACAACTGTACAACACAGTGAACAAGTGGGTAGAACACGTAGAAGAACTGTCGAATAGGCCAGCTTCATTAAATTCACTGGAGATTAAAGAAGTACTTACAGACTTCTCTGTAGATGTCACTCCACCAACGATCGGAGAAATTAGAATGGTCATCAGACAAATCAAGATGGAGAAAGCAGCTGAACTTGACAATATACTAGCTGAAGCACGGAAGTCAGACATAGGAGTAACTGCACACATACTCCACGTTCTATTCAAAAAGATTTGGAAGGAGGAGGAACAAATGACGACAGACTGGGAAGAAAGATATCTTATTAAGTTACCAAAGAAAGAAAATCTTAGCAATTGTGAGAACTACAGAGATATCACACTACTATCAGTACTAGGAAACACTTTAAACAAAGCGTTGCTGAACCGAATGAATGACTCGGTAGACGATTAGCTTTGAGATCAACAAGACGAATTCCGTGAGGGTCGGTCATGCACAGGCCAAATTGCAACAATACGGACCATCGTTGAACAGTCAGTTGAATGAGACTCGTCACTATACATCAACTCCCTTGACTATGAGAAATCATTCGACAACGTGGATAGGAGAACCTTATGGAACCTTCGTTGGCACTATGGAGTACCAGAAAAGATCGTCGACACCATCCGCAATCCACACGACGGACTACATTGAGTAGAGGATAGCTGACAGACACATTCCGAGTGTGCACCGGAGTTAGACTAGGCTGCTTACTCTCTTTATTACAGTTGTCGACTGGATTATGAAAAACCCCATATCCGAGGGAGGCAAGAAATACAGTGGATAACTTGTTTGAAACTGGATGATACTGACTTTGTAAATGACATGTCCCTTATATTCTATACACACCAACAAATGCGGATGAAGATAGCCGGTGTAGCAACAGCCTCTGCATCAGTAGGCCTGAACACACACATGGGCAAGAGCAAGATCCTCAAATACAACACGTAGAACACAAACCCAATTATGCTTGATGGAGAAACTCTGGAAGAGTTGGGAACTTTCACGCACCTGGTCAGTATCATCGATGAACAAGGAGGATCTGATGCAGACTTGAAAGCAAGGATTGGCAAGGCAAGGGCAGAGTTTCTACAGTCGAAAAATATAGAGAACTCAAAACAACTGTCAACAAATAGCAAAGTCATAGTCTTCAATACGAGCGTCAAGGCGGTTTTGTTGTACGGATCTGAAACTTGGAGAACTAACACAACTATCATCAAAAAGGTACAAGTATTTATAAACAGTTGTCTACACAAGACACTCAATGTCCGTTGGTCAGAGACCGTTAGCAACAACCTACTATGAGAGCGAACAGGCTGACTTCCAGATAAAGAGGAAATAAGGAAAAGACGTCGCCTGTGACTAGGAAATATATTGCGGAAATCATCATACTGCATAACGAGGCGAGCGCTAACTTGGAATCCTGAAGGGAAAAGAAGAGAAAAACCAAGGAACACACTACATCGAGAGTTGGAAGCGGACATGAAAAGGATGAGTAGCAACTGGAAAGAACTGGAAAGGATTGCCGAGGACAGAGTTCTCTGGAGAATGCTGGTGGGTGGCGTATGTTTTTACACGAGGGGTTACAGGCATAAGTAAGTAAGTAAATAGAATAATTGGATGAGAAGTTCTGACAAGGCTTACTTATGGCAGACAATCATAATACCATCGGAACAAAATAAGTATATATTTACTTAGCCAAAACATTAGGGATAAAGTTGTTTGGAGCCGCAATATAGTGGAATTTAGGAGTTTTAAATATTTTTGTCTATTACACCTGGTTAATATTGTTTTCTTCCAAGATTAATAATGAACTACTTACTTTTATACAAAAATAGTTTTAATAACTGATTCAAAAGTAGTGAAATAGTTCTTACTATGTATACAAACGAAACTAAAACTTTTTCTGTTTCAGTAAGACCTGAGCGTCTAATATAGCTCGATCATTTGAAATTATTTTCACGTTCACTCAAAAATAAGTTTTGAAATATTTTCTTAGTTGTCGCTGGATACGCTTGTACATTCGCCGTGTTTACGAAAATCGATTTGGACTGTGAAAATTCACAATACCTCATAACACTGCAATGCTCTAATTGTCATGGTCGTTTGAGGTCATGTGATCCGCCAGCAGACTATGATGTGACAGCACCTGGAAAAAAATTTGACCCAAATGTTAAATGTATGTTTGCAATGTGCACCACTCCAGGTTGTCCGACAAGTGGACAAAGACTGTCTTGGTTTGATAAACAACACGTAAATGTGAGTAGAATTTCTTTGATAATACTAAATTATTCACAGTTAATGAATAATTCTTTCGTTTTATGGCTTTGTTGAATAAAGATCCTATCAAATATGTAAGAGAAACAGAAGAAATTATTCGGAACCCAAACAAAGCAAGCCTTATGAATAGAAATGAAAGATTTTGTCTCAAAAACCACCACAAATAGTTTAGCCGAGCTAACCACTTTTGCTTCAGTCATGCGAAACTAACAATTTTTTAACATTTCACTTAATTCTTAGCATTTTTAGTAAAGATTAAACCCCATTATAACTAAAGGTTTCAGGCAGCGGTTGTCTCTCACAGGAAAAATCGTACTCTGAGAAAAAATCGTAAATGAAGTTCGGAAAGATAATCAGTCTTCTTTGTACTAAACACCTATAAACGATGTTTTATTAATAATCCAGTTGGCTAAAAATTTATTCGCTTGTTGAGTTTGACAAAGTAGTTAAAAGTTGATTACGATTAGTAAAACTGAGAATAAAAGATGCAATCATTTTTTCGTCTCAATTGGATTCAGTAAACTATACAAAACATATCGGCAGTATAAAACTAGGCAAATTATAGGAAACAATTTAAATATTGTTAAATACTTTCAAAAAGCTAATCAAGTTATGTGTTCTTTTAACAAGTCTACTGAGCAGATTTATAACACAAAAAACACCAATACTATCTAAACTAGAAGACGAAGTATTCGTTGTCTGCTGACACAGTTGTCACTAACATTGAAACTGTGTGATGGAATTTGTCCTGATAAGTGTTTGAGGCACAAGAGTATGCCTCAAGTTACCATTCTTAAAGCATCACAGTTGAAATTAAATGTCTCTCAAGAATACGAAGGACTATATTAACAAGAAACTAAAGGTCTGAAGGTTTTGTGTAAATTTTTCTACATCGTTCTACAATCAAATGTCCGGAATACGATGACGAACTTGTTTGATTAAAATCTCGATGTAGCTAGCTCCATATGAAACAGTTAAAAATGAAAACTCACATAAAAGGGCAGGTTCAGTCAATATTTCTTCGTTTCAGACTCCAATTGAAAGAAAGATTATTTGAATTTGGGCATTTAAAATTATTAACACAACACCATTAAGTGAATTATCATCAAAAATGAACATTTTTCTGTCAACTCAAAATATATGACTTGATCAAATTAACACTTTTTAAACAGAGCTGATTTGTTTTGAACACCCATGATGCCGATATTAGCAAAAATGTTATTCTATTGCCAATAATCAATCTGGGTTGTGGACTCAGATCTGCTTTTTAGCTTACTACAAGGCTTACAAATACCAACTTTAAAATCGAGGGGAACTTTTCAAGCTCTCTGTTTAGAGTTTTTGAGCTTAGTTACTTTGATTGTCCTTCCTATACTTTCCATATAGATTTCATCGCATGTGATGACACATAGACAATATTAGATAGGGATAATGCCCCATACAAAACTGTACAAATAAATAATTTCCTCCATGAATCTTGAAACTTCTCTACAGATGGAATACGGTACATTTGTTCATCTATCAGACCATACAGGAACATATTCTAGATGTCTTTTAGCCAGTATTGCAATGGAAAAACTTTTAGGATGCAATGTCGAAGAATTTCTACATTTACCATTCGAAAAACGAGTTCGTTTGAAGTGGGAGTTCTGTCTTAGAAGATTTAAGGTTGGTTTACTACTTTTTTATGTGTTACAATATTTGGTTTGAAGTAGCTGAATTATTTCAAAATATTTTATTATAAACGACTGTTTTGAATAATATAGCATTTTTAATCTGGTAAGGAAAGCCCAGTTTCCAGTTCTAATGGTTTCACATAGTTAATACAACCATATATCAATGTATTTATTTATTGATAGTATCAGAAGCCATCAGTATTTGTTGAGTAAATTTTGAGTAAATATTTGATTCACTATAATTGTAGCAAATTTCTAACCGAACGCCCTGGACAGTAAATTTAATATCGTGAATTCTGACTACAAATAACTGATCTTACATGTTGGTGTCAGTCCATTAACCTATTGACTAGTTACTCGAGTTTACAGTTTGTGAAATAATCCAGAGTCTTATTCAAGCACCATAATAATTACATAAGTGAGAAATATATGTTGTTCAAATTCTCTTTCCATAAAACCAGTCTAATTTACGTTTTATTTTTAGATTGACCAAACTAAATTTATTTATTCGGTTAAATAGTTAATAATGAATAAAAATGTCAATAACTGAACCAATTCATGCTAAAACATTACTTTTACTCTTCAGGTTTATTTTTGGACTGAACAGATTAGTTATAACAATCCATCACCTTTAATCATTATTATAGGCGTTGAAAAACCTAATGCTTTTGAAGTAATGCATTCATTGAAATTAAACAGATAATATTATTTGTTAAATTGATTCATATATCAAAGATCTTAGACATTTCGTTGAATAACTTTTCGCTACTGAATTTTTAAAAGCTTTGTTTGTTGTTTCTATGAAATCGCTTTCTAAAGAAGCATTGTTTACACTTTTCAATAATAAAATGCATAGTTGAAATGAATTTCCTTAGTGTTTTGGTGTAAAATAAGTAAAAAATGACAGTAATTATAATATGTACGTGGTGCGTTTAATAAACAAAATATTATTCAGAACTTAAATTGTTTAGTACATGATCAAAATAATGTTGAATGCGTTTCGAAGCCAATAATAAAATTAAACAATCTATAAGAGTGATGTTTTAACATGAATGATAAACCTGGGTATATTGCGTACAATTAAATAGATATACGTTGATTCATTTATTCCGACTTTGCTAACCTTGTATGAAGATAAGCTATAACAGGACAAAATATCATTACAAGCTATTCAGATATTTATCGTTTGCGTTGGCATCATTCCTTTAATAAAAATTCAGATAATTGAACATTCTTCTTAAAATAATTCACGTATTAACGATTATGAGTAAGTAATGTACAAAATCGGTCGTTTCATGGTAAATCGTACTTTGAAAGAAAACAGACCATGTACCTTGATGACAAAAGAGCTTTAAAACTGAAGAATCAGATACTAATTAGTGTATACATGACTTTTAATTCCAAAACTTCCTTTGTTTTACAGTGGACAAAATTGGTTGCATAAAGGAGTTTGGCTTACTAAAGAACGTTGCAAAGAATAGAAATCTATTTTCTATCTCTAACCTTTGTATGGTAGGCAGTCAAAATTGTCCCATGGTCTTCAAAGAGAACTGTTAAAAACGGAGTTATGTCTGCAGACTATTTAATGTAGAGACTGAAGACCAATTTTACTGAGAACAACAGAGAAAAAGAATGCTTTATGAACATTATTGCGCTGATTTGGCGAACCATTACTAAGCGGTTGTCACCAACCATTTGTGTGAATTTTTTGGTTTACTTAAATTTAATGGGACATTTGTATAACAACACAACTTTTAAATAAACAATATATTTTAAATAATGGAGTACAGACAACGAAAATAAATGATACAGTAGCATACTTTACTAAAACATCTATGAAGTAGACTGATTAAAAGAAAAAAACACATTTTAGGTATCAACGGGTTTCAACTCTGGTTTTCGAAAATGACGCATATGTGAACTAGGATCATTAGGTCGGAATGGTGCATGAGCTCCATATGGTATCAAAACTGCGTTTGTTTGTGGACTAGACATTTGATCATCTGAACTACCAGGATTGGGGGCTGTATTTGGTGGGTTCTCATAGGATTTGTTTGATACATTACGATGAATTAGGTAGGCGTTAGGTCTTTCCGGAGCTGTAGTCCAGTAGTCATCTAGTTCTAAAGCCTAAAGTAGGAAAAATGGTGTTGAAAAAAAATGAATTTTTCGTGTTTGAATTATATTCCAACTGAAGGAACTTAGAGTAATTCAATTTTATCTATTACACTGAATAGGACAAAAGTGATATTTGTATTCATTGGATGTAGTTCCCATACTTAATAAAATAATTTAATTGAATGAGTTAAACACTTGTTTTATATGTCAGCAATAAATATTTCTGAGTACCGGATGGAGAAAAGAAAACAATTTTCATCTAAATATAAAGTGCCTACCTTGAATTTATCCGGAGAAATTGAAATAATTCCTTCAATATGTTCAAGTATATTCACTGTCTCAAAATATTTCATGGTTTTTTTAGAACTTAATTATCGTTTGTTCTGTGCAAAGATAGGAGGCTAAACAATTTATTCTGCACGAATATCAACCACTTACAGCCTTTTAGTAGCTGCATATGTTTATGCGTGAATAAATTAGTTGACCTTGAAGATGTAAATAACATAAGCATCCTTATTTTAACTCAGCTTATTGCCGTACATTGATATGCAGATTCTAAACGTCATCAAGATTCACTTACAGTCTAGTGAATCGCAGTTCCCTACTAACTTAAACTTAAGTTTGAGAAAGATATTATATCTATGAAGTTAACTTCGTCATAATTGAATGACCTGCTAATTTGTAAACACTATTACGATCATTTAGAGATTTATTACGGTATAAAATTATGAGCACATCTTAATTGAATTATTTCTACAAAAATCAGACATTTATTTACACATGTATAAATGTAAACACTGACATATTTAGATATAAACGTTTGAAGGCTTTTATGACTTAATTTACGAATGTCACAAAATTCTTCACCACTTACGTTTTAAAATTAAAACATACCTTTGAAATTCTTGCTCTTTCAGATTTCCACTGAACTATTCTATTATATTTTTCTAATTCTTCAATAACATCATCTGTAGGAGGATTCCCGGCCTCCATGCGTTGATAACACTCTTTAAGAAAAGTTCGACGTTCCTTTAAATACAAAAAAGGCATTCAGTAATGATGAAAAATTAGTTGTCAAGCTTTAGTTCCTAATTAAATATTAAAATAACGAAAATAAATTAGGGTAAATGTGATAAACGTCTTAACTAGTTTAAAAAACCTTTGGCCAAATTTCAGACCTTTTAGGGTGTGAATAAATAATGTTGCAGAATATAGGTGTTATATATTAAGGCAAAAGTGAACTAAACCTGGATAGCACAGCCCTATATAAATGTTATTATAGACAACCATTGCCACTTGTTAAAGCTAAATAATGTCTTGTACTTATTGCTACCGTTTGCTATTATTTAGATATTAATGGAATGTAAATTCGGTATATCAAGATATGGTTTACACAGACTAAAATTTGCCTTGGATGACAGCAAAAAAATATGAAACGACTAACATAAATGAAACTTACTTTATTTCAAATCAAAAAAGGCATTTAAGTGATTGCTGTCCTATAAACATAAGTCCTTTTAAATAAATTGGAAGTTCCAAACTCGATATAGGTAATACAAAAACATACCAAAGGCTGTATGTTTGTAGTTAAGCAACAGTTAATGGATTTGCTCATGCAGACCCAAGTATATTAGGTTATTTATGTGGCAATGCAAACAATCAGTTTCACGAAGCTATGTGGTGGTTAATATATATTGTAAGACAATGCATAGTGAAAACAGTTCAGAAAAAGTGGTGATACCGTAGTGTGTGCCACTTATACGGCAGATATAAATAGTATGCATCAGAAATTAGAAGTCGGAGTCTTACTGACGAAGGAGGAAAATGGGGAAAGAAGAAAGGAAAATAAAAGCAGGTGTGGTAAAAACGGGGACGAAAGAACAGTGGAGATCGCTAATGATAATTCAAGGAAGTTTTGCAAATGGTGTATTCAGTATATTGTTTTCATATTTCAAAAGTGCTATACGATTCAATAAAACCCCAAACGTTCAGTCAGTAGTAAAATTGATGAAGTTTAAAAGCAAACAACAATAATACAGTTTTCCATGATGATGTGAGATTATGAAGAAACTTCCAAAATATCGTCCAAAGAATGCACGGTAGCTGATATTATGCAACCACTTTTGTCATTATTTACATATTTATTCAAGTCACTTAACTGCTCTGCTGTTAGAAGACGACAAGACAAAAACTTCATATAAATAGCTACTCTTTGTTATCGTGTGAATTGGAACAAATCACATTAGAAATATTTTCAGTTTATTATCTGTAATTGGCTTTTCATGAAGCGGCTAGTTGTTTTTATATAAAATCAAATCGTCACCGGATAATATTTAAATAAAATAAACAGTATATTTAAGTTACCTTTACTTGTTGTTCAAGTTCAAATGCTGTAGTCATTAACATAGTTAATTCAGCTGTTGTTGCTTTTAAACGTTTTGTAGTTTGAACAGTTGTACCTTTCTGTTCATTCGTTTTAACAGCCAATGTTAGTGCTACATCTCTGAAAATAATCAAATTCCACCTTAAATAGTTTACGCTTAATTAATATATAGAACAACATATATAAGCGAACAATATTGTTTTCGATTAGATCCTCACCAGGCTTTACTCTAATATACAATAATATTTATATGCACATACGAAATCATACTATCAATTTGTACTTTTCACTTCTTATGTTTATTTGCGTAATCTTTTTCATTGTTATCATTGACTCATAAACTACCTTGATTAGTTTAATGATTTTGTATATGCGTATAAATAGTACTGTATAATAGAAAACAATATTGTTCGCTTATATATGTTGTTCTAAATTACAATATGGGAATTTTTCAATTAACATTTGACTGTCAAATAAATAATGTGGCCAAAAATCGTTTGATTTTTCCGTTTCCCAAAAAGATACATATAAAAAATCATTTATAAGATTAACAAATACCTAATTAACTAAGCGACTAACTTAGTGACCGAAAAATTTAAACAGTCATTCCGGGGCAGACGTTGAGTAATTGAGAATAACTGACGTAGGCCTACGTGCCATATTGAAGGCTTATTGGGATTATGAAGTCAGGCTAGATCGTAACATTAACATCACTGGCATGCTTTTTCAAAATTCAATGTACATTGTCTAAGTAGTTCATTAGGAACTGTACCGCTGATTTATTTATTTAGTGGGGTAGTCAATGATTAACACACACACTCATATGAAAAGTGGAGGTTGATAAGCGAATAATTGACAAGATCAAAATGTGACTCAAGAAGAATGAATAAATTGGTCTATCTGGAACCTAGAATAACCTAGCCAATACAGGTAGAAGCTAGTTAACAAAGTGAAGCACTCCTAGTTTAGATGAACAGTCGTAAATGGTAAAATGCTTTTATATTAAACCATTGAAAATCGGCTTCATTATTGTTGATGTAACTCCTTCATTATGAATTTTGAACACCGAATTACATAACACCTCTTTTCTCCTCAGTTTAATCTGTTCCTACATGATATTTGTTTTAAGTCTTTAATAATGTCCGTATTACAGTAAAAATTTCTTTGATTTCTATTTTATTGCTTTTAACTCGTACTAGATGCGAAGATGGTAATAATTTAAACATATATTTTTACCACTAAATTAGTTATATCTCCAACTAATCAACTAAATCAAAAGAGAGCTAAGTTATCTAGAAAGATAATGAT